TACTTCCTGAGGTCATACCGGATATTGAGAATTTAGTAATGGCTGGGGACTGGAACTCGGTATTCAATCCTGAACTGGACTCCTTGAAAACATACCCACTAAGAACGGACACTACGATTTTATCAGAATTTCAAGATGCCCAAAATTTAACAGACGTCTTCAGAATCTTAAACCAGAATCTTAAACCCCAAATAGTAACGGGTTCACCTGGTTTGGGCCTAAACCAAACAACCGTACTCCTGTCCCTAGAAAAAGACTGGACTTTTTCCTAGCCAGAGGGTCTCCTTGGGGACTCCTGCATGATGAGTGAAGTGGGAGTGGGCTCTTTCTCAGACCATTACCCGGTTGTAATGGATGTACTGTCAAGAGAGACTGTCGAGAGATATCGCCCTCCTTTCCGCTTGAACGTGACTCTACTTAAAGATGAGGGCGTTTCTAGGTGGGTGTCAACCCATATGGAAGCATGGTCCGGGGCGCAAGACCTGTTCCAGGACTTTAATGACTGGACGGACACAGGCATAGCAATTGTGAGAGCAGCGCTGGTGGAATTTTCGAGAATGAAGGCGGCCGCCCGTAATTGGAAAGAACAGTGCCTAATTTTGACAGTAAAAAATGCAGAAGCCAAAATGGGAAAGGACCCCTTCCTTGGATTTCTTTTGGTCGAATAAAAGAGTAAAGGCACATGCCGATTTGGAAGATTTGCAAGTACAAAAGCAGAGTGATTAGGAGGCCAGAATAGCTGATATAGCATAATCTTTTATAATTTTTCATATATTTGAATCATTATTCTCTTTAGCAGTATTATCTGTGGTATCATCAGTATCATCAGGGTCACTCCGGGTAGACTGTGAGGACCCCGGCCTCAAATCTTATTAAGGGTAATATCAAGCCTTGGGCACCGGGCCCGGTTAAAAAAAAAAAAGAGTGATTGGTTAGAATGGTTAAAAATGAGGGGCATAGTCGGGTATGACAGAATGACTAGACTCTCTTTCAGATCCTTGATCCTGTGTCAATCCAGGTCATTAGTGAGAGAATTGGCCCACCCCTTTGCTATCAATGCTCCAATAGTAGTGACACAGTCAAGATGTGTGCGCACACACTAGAGTACTATAGAGGCATAGTATCTACTAGAAGGCCCTTTGACTCGCTCACTTAGACGGGGATGCCCGCTGCCCCCCCTGCTCTTTGTTATCCAGTTAGAGGTATTACTTGATTACATTAGAAAAAATAACCTTATAAAAGGCCTTTGCCTTACTCCACCAAACTCCCAATGGAAAGGTGGGGCGATAGCTGACGACCTCGCCATTGCATGTGAAAATACGGTAGAATCCCTAGAAAAACTGAAATCGGTTATAGACACTTATTGTTCTTTGTCCGAGTCTTCTATAAATTGGGAGAAGTCTCTATTTTTCCTCCCTCCTTCCCAGAACTTACGAGTTGGTTGGGGATTACAGCGGATTCCGCTAAATTCCTCTGATCGTTTTCTTGGAGTACAAGTGTCACTTTCGGATTGTTCTTCAGTGCACAATGCTCTGCCGGCAGAAAAGGTATCAGCCAGAATTTCAGGATGGATTCGGAACCACAAACTCTCCCTCCATGGGAGAGCAATGGTGTTATCCTCAGCGGATTTCTCCCTCCTACGGTTTCCACTCTCAGTCCATCTACTTGGAGAAGGCGCATACACACAGATCAAACGAGCGGCGGCCCGTTATTTATGGAAGCCGACAGCTGGAGACCAACAAGGTTTTATGACGAAAGTGGCATGGGAAACCGTAGCCACGGCAAGAGAGATGGGAGGGCTAGGCATACTTGATGCCATCCACCAAAATTTGGCATTATTGATTAAGTGGATCATAGCAGCCACTTTGGGGTTGAAATCTATAGCAGCCACTTGGGGGTTGAAATCTAAGTGGTGGGTGAGGCTGGCAGAGTACATTTTAGCAAAGGAGTGGGGCCTATTAAAGCCACGGGATGTATGGAGATGCGCTTTTATCCCCTCCTTTGCAAACCGTCGCCCGAAGTCGAGACTTTGGAGGAGTATTCTCTTTGCGTGGCGCCAACTCTTTCCAAAGATAAGGGTTCAGCCCAACTCGCAACAAGAATATATTTTTGAAAACCCGTTGGTGGTACAGGAAGAAGGCAGCATGCTACAGGCCGATGGTACCAGAGGTCCCTTTGGTAAGTCATGGGTGGAAAAGCGTATTATTGAATTATTCAGCTCAAAGACCTGTGGGACCAGGAGACAGAAGAATTGGATCCCGGTGACAACTCTGCGTAGATTATTATTMCCCCGCCGGTGTAACCTGGAGCGAAAATACGAGACGATAAAAAGAGCTATTCCAGCACATTGGTTGTCTATCCTCAAAATTTCAGATCATGTACAGGCGGGTACATTGCTGAAGGACGCCGACTCATCAGACCTGTACCTGGAAGTTGTAGGTCCAGAACTCACAGGTGGTGATGTAAAAGTCCACGTTTGTAAGACGACTGTCGACAGAAATGGAGAACCGACTCCTCAAACATAGAGGAGAAAAAGTAGTGCCTGCCACGGGACGGACGGTATGTGGAAAGCAGGGTGTGGGCTCCGAACCCGAACACATCAGCGAAATGCCTACCGTTAGCGGAAGATGCATCTACCATCTCAGTCGAACCATGCCTAATGGGGTGGGAAGGTTTGGAAGCGCGGACCTCCTTCTGTCCTGCTTTTCAATATCGGCCGAACTGGGGGGTGAAGATCCTTGACAGCCAGAGTAAAGAAGCAGCCTATTTCAACGGCAGCAGAACGACTAAGGAAGGAGCCGGGATTCGACGTCGGAGCAGTGGACCTTTTTTCAAACAATGGAAGAGCTTCAGACTGATACCTTCACAGAAACAGGCAAGTCTGCTCTGGCTACAGTCACTGCTAGTTACTCCGTCCGTCAGCCAAGTGGCTAGCGGCCAAAGGCATGCCCAATGCCCATGTCAGAACATTGTAGTACATGTCGGTGGGGCTGGGAGACGACCACACATGTGACATGTGTGGCTCTATTGCCCGGTCTCAACTCGAGTATGGACCTGGTGGCGACAACACTGGAAAAGGCTGACGCAAGACAACTTCAAATGCACACAGGAATGGACCTTGTTTGGAGACGAACAGTCAGACACAGATTTGTCTGAGGGTTGGGGTTATATCGCCATGGTCTGCAGGGGAGCGGTGATGGAAACCCTGTGGAAAGGTAGAAACAGTGCGGTATTCTCGGGTGAACAATTGTCTCTATACAGTCTGATTGGAACCATAAAGAGCCTTATTAGGCTGGCAATTACATCGGATCGGCAAATGTCAAAATCGCAGGCAAAAAAGAACAAATTTTGGTTCCACAAGACCTGGGCAAAAAACAGCTCCTTTGCCTCGATCACTCTGGAGGGTAATTTAGAACTGAATAGTCGGTTGTTAGCCGGACCAGAAGGTGAAGTAGGGTCGGGTCGTATGCCCGGATTTTAGATAGCTGAGAGGAGAGGTTCAAGAACCAGGGTCGATACATAGACCCTGTTTGCCTTGTGATAGAGTGACAGTTTTCAGTTAGGGCCATAGGTTGGAGACAAGCTGTTCCAGGTAGTAGTTACAAAAGAGGAGAATGTTTTTTATGTTTTTGGCTAATATAACAGCATGGGGAGAGGAAGGTAGGTAGCTTTTGTTAGAGGGAGAAGAGTGAGAACAGCAATCGGGTCGGGTCCCTGGGGGGGTCCTGTAAAAAGCGAACACTGGGTAATGATCCCAGATCAGGGTACCTTTGAGCTATGTGGGTAGACTGTGAGAAACCCGGCCTCATCAATTGTCCTTTTCAATTTTTCTAAAAAAAAAAAAAAAAAAAAAAGAAGGAATTCTCCATTTCTGATCAGAGATTAACTATTTAACTATAACTATGAAAGATTTACGACCGGGAGCAGTAGGGCGGAGAAAAAACAAAAAGAAAAAAAAAGGGCGGAGAAGTGGAAAGTCGGGGTTGCTTACATTTGGGTTATACTAAGGTTGAGGATCAGGTCGAGCCGCTATCCACGCCGTGCACAGAAGCGTTTTATTTGACTGGACCTCAACGAAACCTCTCTTTTTCCTTTTTTTTCCTACTTTTCCGCGTTTTCAAAACGAGCTACCACCTACACCTGTGCCCAGGCTCCACCGAGGCCCTACCCAGCTTCCCAATGTCTTCCAGGAATTCAGGAAGACAATTTTTTTTGCCTGGGCGGGGTTTAACGTTGCTGCGCAACAGGTGGCAACCCCAAGCATGCAAAACGCTGACACAGCAGCCATCTGCAAGAAAGGCATACCATCAGGCGCCTTCTTCGAGCCGACGTCACGAAAAAAAGTTAAAAAAACCTTCAAGCCAAAAAAACACACGAAAAAAGACACGTACCCGAGACACCCCCCTCCTTCCTCTTAAAGCCACCAGACATTTTGAGATTATGAGACATGCCTGCGGCAGGTAATCAGATATAGTTTTCATCCTCCTCCAGCATGCCCAATAACACAGCCAACACCTATACTCCTCACAGCATACCCTGCTGCCAAACAACTAGCAGCAGCTCAAATCATACTCAACGCTATGCGAAAGAGAGAGAGAGGCATTTGCATTGGGATGACCAAGTCATATGAGAGAGAGAGAGAGAGAGAGAGAGAGAGAGAGAGAGAGAGAGAGAGAGAGAGAGGCATCCGCATTGGGATGAGGACCAAGTCATAGGGCCGATGATAAGAAAAAGGAAGACAACAAAACGGATCAATTCATACCGAGAAAAAAAAAAAAAAAAAGAGAAATGGAATTGACTATGGCTGACAGTAAACCAGGGTGTCAGAAGACATCGAGAAGCTGCGGTACGTCGTTTTTCCTCCACAGCTGGCAAAAAGAGGCGAGGGTAAAGGAAACAGATAGCACATACACCCACGCGCACATGCATGCACACACACACACACGAACTGGACAGGAACCAAGTTCACATCCGTGCCACCCATGCCATCCATCATGACAGATGCGGGGAGCTTCATGGCCAGAAAAAGAAGGAAATCATTCACCATCTGGGCGAATGGCACGAGTGTTGTGGAGACCATCTGCCAAGTTCGAGCACACCCTCTGCAGGACTTAAGTTTCAGAAAAAAAAACTGCATCGGATCAAAAAATGGAACAGGTCAGGTTATCAAGAAACAACAAAACCGAATGGCACAGATACGTACAAAGTAAGAGTGTTGGGAGGACAAAACATGGACCTCCTCACTCTCTCTCTCTCTCTCTCTCTCTCTCTCTCTCTCTCTCTCTCTCTCTCTCTCTCTCTCTCTCCCTCTCTCTTCCCCTCTCTCTCCTCCTCTCTCTCTCTCTCTCTCTCTCTCTCTCTCTCTCTCTCTCTCTCTCTCTCTCTCGCCCCTCCCTCTGTGTGTTGTCGTGTTCGCTAAACACGACTTCAAAAAGAAAAAAGCATGATTGTGATGTGTGTCTGTGATGGGTGCACATATGCACCCTTCTACTTGTGCAAGTACACATTGGTGAGCATGCACGCTCCCTAACAAGTAACAGCACAGAAACTTACAATTCCTATCGAACTGTCTTCTACTAATCATCGTCAGCCACCTGACTGTCTTTGGCGGGCAAATCCGTCACTGCAAGTCATTTCTCTCTCTCTCTCTCTCTCTCTCTCTCTCTCTCTCTCTCTCTCTCTCTCTCTCTCTCTCTCTCTCTCTCTCTCTCTCTNCTCTCTCTCTCTCTCTCTCTCTCTCTCTCTCTCTCTCTCTCTCTCTCTCTCTCTCTCTCTCTCTCTCTCTCTTTCTCTCTCTCGCTCGCTCGCTCGCTCTCGCACGCGCACACACGTTATTACGTCCGCCAATCCTCCGAGTCAGTAAGCAGCTATGTATGTACATACAGGCTGGATGCGAACAGATGGGTCGGCCAGGATAACAATTGCTCTCCTGCTGCTGCTTAAACAGCTAAGTACAGGGTGTCATCATCATCCATCTTCTTTACAACGATGACACAAGAACTATTCTCGACAAACTAGTCCTTCCTTCTCGTTCGACAATCTGTCCTGTTCTCCCAGGCATCCTCTTCGTTCAGTTTCCACTTTCTCTTCTCTCCCGTTGTCCGTTCTCCTCTCTCCCGTCCTCCTCATCCTCCTCCCCTTTCTCCTCTCTCCCATTCTCTCGTCGTCCTCGTCCCCCCTCTCAGTCCTTTTCCACATGTCGTGTGCTCTCCTTCTCCGAAGACGCACTCTTCCCCATGGCTTGGACATCCATACACGGTCCCATAGATAGACCCCATACGCGTTTCCGTCCGTTTCAAGGACCTCTCCACCACTCACCGTCGTTTTTCCCGCTCCCCTTTTATGCTACACTCATCCTCCTCCTCCTCATCATCAGCAGCAGCAGCATATACACTAGCAGTTTCCCCTCCCTAGTCATAGTCACTCTCTCTCTAACTATTGCAACCGGGTCTACGCTTCGCAGCCAAAGCAGCCAAATCTCCAAAGAGAGCTGATCTTAAATGGCCACCATTTAGTGAAACACTTACCGATGAGTCTAGGAACCCTACCCGTCGTTCTGATCTCCTCCGCCTTCTGTCGGCTCACCGCAAGACTTTCCATCATCTTGGATTCCGCCACTGCTTTCCGGTCCTCGGCCTTCCTGCGGGCTCTGGCGTAATCCTTCTCCAGTTTTTCGAGAGCCTTGGCCTTGAGTTTCTCGATCTGGACTTCAATCTTTCTCAGGTCCGCCTCCGCCTTCGCTCGCTCCTGTTTCTCGAGAGCCAGCGCTCGTGCTTCTTGTCGTCGGTACCTGGCCAGATACTTGGCGCGCAGCTCTTCTTCGTAGGCATGAGCTTGGAGCTCGATCCTCTTACTCCTGGCTTTGTACAGGAAATGAGCAGACTCAGAAGAGTCGTAGTGCTCTTTGGAGTGCTCGCTGTCATCCTGTGGACCCGAAAACGAGGATGATCTTGCCAGATTACCCCCCCCCTGAAGGGCGACGATGGCCAGGGAGCGATCCTCCCCCCCGTTGGGAAGACGCCCTCCTCCGCCATCATTACCACCTTCTGAGGAGGACGACGAGCGACTGGCAATCGTCCGTCGACGAGGACATGCGTTCCCCGTTGGCCCAACCACCATAGCCGTGTTCCCAATTGGCGACTTGGAACGGTCCGACGAGTGAGACTGAGTGCTTGTGGTGGTGTACGTCCCAACGGACTCCTCTGGAGTGCCCGATACGGCACTGTTGTTGGGTAGACGATGGGCATTGGCCACGGCCTTGGCTGCCACCGCCATGCTGGCAGTTGCTGACCTGGAATGGTATCCCCACTCCACGGCTGCACTGCTGTTGCTCCTGACCAGCCACCCATCCTGTCCGCCTTTCTTGGCGATTCCAGCACCATTTTGTGCTGCGATGATCTCGTCTTGCACCTTCTTGTGCGAACCCTTCCCCCCCCCTCCCTCCGCTCCAGCCTTCCTCGCCTTCACCCAGCCCGCGACGTTCCCACTTCCTCCACCGCTCGACTTCATTTTGATTGCGGCCTCACCACTGCCTAGTCCGCTAGCCACGACTTCGTGCCCAGTGCTGTTCACAACGTACTTCCTGCCTGCCGGTGGCTCTTCCCCACCAACTGCCGAGGACGACGGTACATCCAAGGAGTCCTCTCGCACCACAGGAGGCGTCGCTGTACTGAGCATCTCTTTGATACGGGCAGCTTTCAGAGAGATGTTACTGACTGACGATTCGGCCACCGCCACTCCGTCCCGCGACGCTGGACTCACCGTCGTCGTCGTCCTCCTGCAATCGAAGGAGGAGCCCGCGGGCGCGGCGGCAGCAGACCTGCTCCCAGCCACCAAAGCTCTTGTGGAGGTGACATTCGGAGGGAAACAAGGATCTTCGGACGGATCAGAAACGAGTGGTGGCATGCGGGCGGTAGAATTGCTAGCTGCCCTTCTAACATGCAGGTCAACCCTCGACGAGGGAGGGGGTTTGCTTACATCATGACCATCTGTGTCGCGGGCGGGAGTTCGAGCAGTCTCGTCCGGAGATATGCCGTCTAGCTCTTCGTCCATCTCCGGAGTGTGCGCGAACGCCGCCCCACGTGCCACGTGTCTTGTGTACGCAGCAGACCCCTCCCTGCTGCCTGCGCTGCTACGGCGGCGATACAACCCTTTGCCTTCTTGTTCGTCCAAGGGTTGCCGCTGCTGGAGAGCTTTTAACCGACTCCCGCCTCCCGAAGACGCCGCCGAAGAAGACGGTTTCGTTGAGCTGGAACGACAGTCCTCGTCTCGCGGAGCACCGCGCCGGGCAGAAGTCTCAGCAGCGAAAGCAGACGCAGCAGGGGTCGATGTCGAAGCAGCGCCCTGGCGCTCTGGGTGTGGTACTAATTGGGCCGAACTCACCAAAATATTTGTCCTAACCGCGACGGGATCGACAATCACGGGACTGTATCTGGTACCACCACCAAAAGCGCCACCCGAGCCGGAAAACATCGGGACCGGGACATATCCCACGTGGGGCCGTGAAGCACTACTACTACCACCACCACCCTCTCCTCTTCCTCCTCCTCCTCCTACTCTTCCTCCTCTGGTGTCCGTCGTTCCTTTCGCCATCGAGGCGGAGTAATGTTTTCGATTCTGCTGTTGTTGGGATGTTAAACCGCCGGTCGGTGTCGTGCGCCAATCCGCGGCAGCGACGGGTGCTGTACGAGACGCATCCCAGTCGGAAACCCGATCGACCTCGGGGGGGAGGGAACCAGAATAAGCACCCGATTTCGATTCCCCCCTCGGTAGATGTGATAAACCCCGACGACGATGGTCAGCAGCGCCATAAACATCACCCACTTCCTCCTCTTCCCCCTCCTCTTCTTCCTCCGTCGATAGTGCCCGCCGCCGACGATGATCAACCATGCCTCCTCCCCGGCCCCCCCTCCCTTTTATCGTCTCTGTCTCCTCCTGAGGCACAATCTCTCCAAACGACCCATTCTTTCTCTGCTCGCTATGGAACGACGACTCGCCTGTTGTTGCCTTCCTCCCCCCCCCCCTTCGATGTACCCCCTCGCCGCCCGCCCTTACATTGACCGCGGCCTCAAGGTATGCCAGATTGTCGTCTCCAAGCTCTTGAAGACTGCATAAACTCTGCTGCTCAAGAACTGCCATGTCCCCCCCCTCGCTCCTTATAGCGTCCCTTTTGACCTCGAAGGAGGACTCTGTACTTCCCCCTAAGCTGCTATTACCACCGCTAGTAATTCGACGACCAAGCATCACAAGGGAGGAGTTATCCCCCTCCATCCCGGCATTAACCTCCTCCGAGCCTCTCGTCGATCCTGTGGACATTTCCACGATCTCTGGTGCCGAGCCTGCCGTCACAAACCGAGTGGGTGTCAGCGCAGGCAACGAACTTGGGGAGGAGGATATGCGACCTGAAGTCGGGGGCGACTCTATCACAGGCACGGCTGCCGATGTCATAATCGTCGCCGCAGCTGGCGATGATGAAGAAGGTCTCGTAGACGGCGCGACCGGCGGTGAAGACATCGTCGTTGCCGGCATAGCTGGTGAAGAAGACGACGGTGGGCTCGTTGTCGGGGCTGGGCGCGAAGAAGGCGACATCTTCGTCGTCGTGGCAGACGAAGGAGACGTCATAATCCCGGCCGTCATGGAAGGGGGCGAAGAAGACGCCGGACTCGCTACCGCAGCTAACGAAGAAGAAGACGACAGCAGCTCTGCCTTTGCTCCTCTCGCCCCATGGAATGTTTCTTTCCCTCCCCCTCCTCCCCCCTCTCCTCCTTTCCCCACCGCAGTGAAACCACTCCTTGCCTGCACTGTTCCGACGTGACTACCGCCCCCCAACCCACATGTATCTCTCGCGTCCAGCTCAACTGCTTTACTCGTGCGAGCTTCGCCCATCCACGGCGGCGGCGATGGACTCTTTTTAACTATCGGGCTCCCATGCTGCGAATCCTCTTCTCCCCGCAGCGCTGCTGAGTTGTCATTCCCGCCACACACACCGCATGCTGCCGTTCCGCCGGCTGCTGCATCATGACCAATTCGCACTGCCACGTCAGCAGCCTCATCAGCAATTTGCGCTGCTACGTCAGCAGCGGCCGCACTACTCGCCGTCCCAGCCGCCGTTATTGCTGCTGCTGCTGCTCCATCTAACGATTCCAGCCGCCTCGCCCTGGCGCTGTCCTCCTCGTCGACACCACCACCATGCGTATCCCGCACAACCTCCTCCTCCTCACAGCGCGCTGCGTTCTCGCGCCCATTCCCTATTGCTCTCGGCGAAAGACTCTCCTTCTCTCCATTTCTCCCATCCTCGTCAACCAGGTCATCATGCAATCCCGAGCCACCTTCAGCAACCTCTGTAATTCTCTCCATCTCTCGGAGCGTTTTCGTCCCCTCCATCTCCTCGTCTTCGTCCTCCTCCTCCTCCTGCTCCATACTCCCTTCTTTCCGTGGTGAAATGCCCTCACCATAAGCGTCCACGGCATCTCTTTCGCCCTCGTCCCCCCTCTTCTTCACTCCCTCCGATCTACTCGAGCGTCTTTTAGTCAAGCTCGTTTCCATCCCCTCGTCCCCGCTCATGTCCTCTTCCTGCTCATCATCATCATCATCATCATCATCACTACCATCATCACCACCACCATTACTAGCTCCGCCATATTCCTTCTTTCCCCATTCCATCTCATTTGCTTCTCCTCCTCGTCTTCCTCCTCTTTCTCTTCCTCCTCTTTCTCTTCCTCCTCTTTCTCTTCCTCCTCTTTCTCTTCCTCCTCTTTCTCTTCCTCCTCCTCCTGATGCACCTCTGTCCACCTGGTTGATTTGTGCAACGCCAGGTTCAGCCCCCGAGCCGCCACTCCCTCGACTCTCTTCCTCTTCCTCGTAATTTACAGGCCTGATCTCTCCACGCCCGTCATCTTCTTCTCCTCCTCCTCCTCCTCCTCCTGCTGCTGCTCCGCCTCCTTCGCCCCTTGTCTCCTCTCCTGCTCTTGCGCCAGCTGCAGCTGCTAGTGCCGTCCGCCGCCTTCGGTTCCCGCTCGAGCTCCGAAGGAACTTGAACCCATTCGTTAACGGTGTATTCCGCAAGGCCCTCGCCCCCCCTTGGTTTCCCCCGACAGGTTCCGCTTCTACACCGCCCACAGTCACCACCAATGGCGCATTATATCCGATAGCCGCGGCGGCAACGGCGGCGGTGGCGGCGACAGCCATGGCCCCTTCTTTCAGAGGCGACTTCCTTTTCTCTCTCTCTCTCTTCCGTCCTTCTTTTTCCCTCGCCTGAGCAATAGGAACCGCGCCGCCATCCCGCGCATTGTTGCTGGTGCCCGCCTTCTCGTCATCACCCCCCCAATGATTCATCAACTGCATGTTCAACATATCGGATCTACCACCCATCATCATCAACTCGCAGCTCCCTGCTCCGTTCTCTCCGTCTTCGATCTCCACGTTTTGCGGCGGCGGCGGCGGGGTCTTCTTGCTCTCTGTGGTCTTTGTCACTCCAGGAGCTTTGCCGTCACCAACTCCACCTCCACCTCCTACACCCTCGACTTCCTCTTCACCAACAGCGCCGCCGCCATCGTCATTACTAGTATTACTTCTATGCAGATCGCCACGGCCTTCCTCCACTTCACCGAGCCGACTCCATCCCTCTCTTTCCAGACTCTCGCCCAGCCATCCCGTCCCAGCATCCTCCTCCTTGTAGTATCCCTCTGCCTCCTCTTTTCTCTCTTCAATTTCTGTACCTCCGGCCGACTTATCCCCCCCCCCCCCTTGTCTCACCACGTCGTTCCACGTGGCACCGACTGCTGCTTTCCCCCCATCACTAGAACGAGATTTCTCCCAAGCCTCGTTTCTCTCTCCCCCTCCGTCGCGTGACAACGACAGAACCGCCCCCCCATCGCCGGTGTCCCCACGTCGCTCAGCAGCGGGACAATCCATGGACTGCTGTGTGGACAAACCGCCCGCCACCTTCAATTCCGACACGATTTTCGTCTGATCGTTGTGGCCCTCGACGGCAGTCGCACCATCCTTCGCCGCCAAACCCAGGGATACATCGCTTATTTGCTCACTGGAAACGGATACAGAGGAGACGGACGGCAAACCCCCCACGGAGTTGGGAGAAGAGGGCCGTTCCCTCGATACTGCAGCTTCTCCTCCTCCACTCTGCCTAAACTCCTTCACCTCTTCCTCCTCCTCCTCCCCCTCCTCTTCCTTCCTCCCTTTCGTGGTTCCCGCAGGTTGCGGACGGAACCGCGCCCTTTGCTCTTGCTGCTCGTCCATCAGCAGGGACTCGTGATGATGATGATGATGATAATGGTGACGACGACTTAATTGCTCGCCGGAATGAAGGTCGGTCAAGTCTGAGTCTACAGCTTGCATATCTTCTTGTAAGGATGACGCCACCTCATATTCATCTTCATCTCCGTCCTCCTCCTCGTCGTAATCGGCAGATCGACATTCTTCATCGGTCGAGCCGAAGCTCTGACCACCGCGGAGAAGCCGGTTATGGGTGGGAAGCAGCAGCGTCAAGTTGGGATCCTCCTCCTGCTGCTGTCGCCCCCCCCCCCACCTTACCACGCTCCTCCCTCCTGAGTGCAGCCCCGAATCAACTCCTCCCCCCCCTCGATCTCTCCCATCGCCATCGGAAGACAGGTCATCGTCCCTCATGGCTGATCGCGCTGTTGCTGAGTCGCGGACGACATCCCGACGGCCTCGCCGCCCGGAGGTAGAGGATGGTCGTGGCACATTCGGTCTTCCTGATCGTACAGCAACATCACCTTTAACGAACAGACCTCTTGCTTCTCCATCTCCTCCTCCTCTTCCTGAACTTCCTCCATCTCTGAGACTTGATGTTGTCGAGGAGGGCGTATTGGATGATCGGTAAACCCCCCCAGAGGATAGGGCCGACTTAAACGAAGCCGCGCTCTCAGTCTCCGAGGACGACGACGGCGATGGCGGCACCGATCGCGGGGGGATATCAGAAGAAGTAGAAGAGTAGTCGTTACCGCGAGCTCTCTTGAACGAAGAACTCGCTCCTCGCCATGGCGACTCGCCCCTCCAGATGCCAGACGAACTCACATCAGCATTTCCGATGGCCATGGCCGTGGCGTAGCCGACTCCTCCTCCTCCTCCTCCCCCCCCCCCGGCGGAGGAAGAGTTCGACAGAGACGAGCTCGATCGCCTATGATAAAAGGTGGACTCGAAAGAGGAATGGTCGGACTGGCTGACTGTAGATCTGGGACTTAGGCTGTTTCCCGGAGTGTGGAAGTCTGTCCCGGTTACGGAAGGGGTCGTCAATGCGTCGACGCCCTCGGAAGACTCGGATTCCGCCTCCTCTTCGGTGCTGCCTTCCTCGTCTCCTAGGACACCACCTCTGCCAGTTTGTCTGAAGCTGTTGCGAGCTGATGTGCCGTACGGAGGGGCTACTCCTACTCCACCTCCTCCTCCTCCTCCCGACCTGTGTGTTCGAACGGCTACCGGGGTTCCTCTTTCTAATTGATTATGATGGTGGGAGCAGACGTAACCGGGAGGGGGAGGCCCTCTCGCATAAGGCGATGGCGCCAAACGATTGGTCATCGCCCGTAGGTTGAGCGAGCCGGCAATGCCGCCGCCGCCGCCGCTGCTACTACTTGCTCTTCCTCCCTCTCCCTCCTGTTCCGCTCTTGCGAAGCGGTCCACGCCGGACGACTCGGCCTCCGCAAAGGGCCAATTCTCAGGCTGTATGACCTCCACCACCACCTGACTCTCCTCCCCATCGTACGATCCATTTGCCTCGTCTCTTCCGGCGCGCTTGCGGATCTTCAACGACGCATACGTCGAATCTGGGGTGTCCCCACCCAGACCAATGAGCTTCGTGATCGCCTGCATCTTTGCTATCGTCCTTCACTACCAATTGAGCAGGGCCGAGGGAGAGACGAAGGAAGAACGAGGAGGAGGAGGAGGAGGAAAAGAACAGCATACAGCAGCAGGAAAAAGGTAGGAATAGATAGACACCGCACGGCCAGAAACGCGACCACACTAACCCGCTCCCTTCCAAGTGCTTTTTTGATAGAAGGCAGGCGCGCCGAAGATGAGGATGACGACAAGCTGATGACGTTAAAACTCACTCCCTACTACTGTCGCTATTCGAAACTCCGTGTACTTGCCGCTAGCAGACGGTTCAGAATACGAGCGAATTCTCTCCCTCTCCCTCTCCCTCTCCCTCTCTCTTTTCAACGGGACATATTTTTCACTCCACTTCTCCACTTCTTCCCCTCCGTTCTCCCGTCTCATTCACAAAGAAAGAGTAGATTAAAAGTACACACCGCGGGAAAGAGGTATGACGAGGGATTCGCCCCTCATCCGGCGGCGGCTGAGGCTTTCCGTTCAACAACAGTTCACGTCCGAAGACGGACGCATGAACATGTCATTTCCAAGCCCTGACAGTGCAAGACATTCTCGCTCTGCACTCTGCACGTCGGCTCGTGCCACCACCACCACCACCACCACCACCACCGAGCGCATCTTTTCGCGACTTCGTTCGTGCTGAGGGTAATGATGACCCATTTGTATCCGTATACCCTCGGAAAGGACGGGACTCGACCTTGAGAGAGGAGGAGAGAGGAGGAGAGAGGAGATCTTGGCAGTTGTGAGAACAACGACAGTCAGAGGGCGGAAACCGAGTGTCCGTATTGCTCGTGCGGATCCGCGGCGTGCCGCGGAAGCTTGGAACCGCGACCAGGCGTGTCGTAGACATGAGAGCGAGAAGCAAGGAGGGCAAAACAGCAAATCAAAGATAAACAAATGATGAATAAATAGACGGAAAATTTGCGGTTCCAAGTTCTTTTAAAAAAAATCACTAAAAACACCAACTCAACTTCGTGTGTGTGTGTGGCCCCTTTCGCTTTCGTCCTTTTGCGAATTAATTACCAGAGCAAACAGTACAAGAGCGAAACAAACGCGTCAGTGTAGGCCGCCGCCCATTCGACTTCGCCCGCTGTGTATGAATGAGATACTAACAACGAGGGAGAGAGGGGCAGGCAAAGGAAAGGATTACACGTACACGCGGCTGCGCGCGCTCTCAAAAGAGGCGAGGGCCAGAGAGGGGAAGCCCCACCAATAGGCAGGAGCGCAAAAAGGGGGACGCGAAAAGAGGGCGAGAAGAAAACAGCTGTCGAGATCACGCTGTGGGTGCCCCCTCTCGATTCCCCAAGAGACTGTGAGGGAAATCCTGACGGCAGCCTTCATCAACTACAACGCGGTAAGGTGAAGGAGGGGGAGGGGTTGTAAGAAAAGAAAAAGAGAAAGGAGATAAGAGGGGTGAAGGAGGAAAAAGGTAAAAAAACGACTAAGTAAAAGACACAGCGCGTCACGCGCCGACATTTTCTCGAATCCAACGGTTCACTAATTCCCTCTTTTTCAAAGAGGAAGCCGTTAATAAAATAAAATAAATAAAAAAAGAGGAAGCCGTGGGCGGGGAAAAGATAGAACAGGAAGACGGGGAAAAGAAGGGTAGGCGCGGGGAAGGGAACGGTGCTGGATGAGATGTCACGGCAACGCGATGCACGAGCGCGGTGGAAAGAGCGGCATGAGAGTGAACAACTCACTTCCGCTGTGACACATGCCGAGTCTAGTTTAGTAGACTGACATCTGAAATGACAGGCACTGCATCTGCTTCAAAACAAAAAAAACGCAGCGCCGCCGTCTGTCGCGGGAGAGTGGGGGGAATATACCCTTCCTTCCCCCCGGCTTGCGTCCCGTAGATTTAGATCTACGAGGTGATCGCGGTCGCAGCCACCTTCTCTCTGAACAAGCGCGCAGCAACGCCAGGAAGTCGGCTTTGCCTGCTAGCACACCATCACCCACCTTTTTCCGAGAGACTCGCTAATAAAGAATGATCCTGGAGACACCCACTCAGTGCACTCACCCACCCTGCGCGATCAACAGCAAGAAACACCCCCTTGGAGTAGAAAGCTTCCGGCTTTACACAGAGAGAAGTGGAGAGAAACAGGAACTGCGAAAAGGAGGAAAACAGACACAACATTCCAAAGGAAAATTACCCAAGTGCTACGAGGTGGAGAGCACAGAGAGGGCGAGAAGAAACGGTTTCGCAATCGCTCGTGTTAAGCAAGCAACTGCTCGGGGGGGTCAACAAGATAAAGGAGCAACGAGAGAGGAAAATACAGTGCACTTTTCACTCTCCCACTACTCATCTCTCTATGCTCTTCTACCGTTCCTAAATCCGCATGCGACAAAAAAAAGAAGAAAAAGACCAAAGCTCCGTGCGGCAATAACGATGAGGTCTAGTGTATCAGTTACAAGAGGCGCAGCCATCTCTCTCTCTCTCTCTCTCTCTCTCTCTCTCTCTCTCTCTCTCTCTCTCTCTCTCTCTCTCTATATATATATATATATTTGACGATATATATATATATATATCACACACACACACACACACACGCGCGCACACACGCGCACACACGCGCACACACGCGGAGACAAGCACGGACGAGTGCGCGCACAGATGTACACGAACGCAAAACACCTGTGTACCTTTGCTGACTTAAAAGTCTTTCGGTTGAGCGAATACTAACGAAAGGGGTAGAGACTACAGTAGGCGGGTGGACGAAGATCAGTGAAGAAACTAAAGAAGGATGAGGAAGAAACAGTTAGAGAATAAGGAAAACTAAAGAATTCTACACTACATATAGTTGGCTAAAAGCTGTGAGTGACTTAAAAAAAAGCTCGAGATCAAATAGAAACTTCTTGTTTACAGCGAACGCTATGCAAATGTATGTGTCTGAGGGAGACAGACAGAGAGAGGGAGGGAGATGAAGAGACATTTCCAGGAATTTGAGCTCCTGCTCTGAAGAGAATATCGCCCTACTGCTTCGGCTTCATTCCTCGGTAATAAACGATAACAACGATGTGCAGCAGATCCATCCGCCGCCCAACTATTCCACAATGAATAAACTTACCTCAACTACGCTCCACCACCTCCGGCTGATCAATTCAGATGCATACACGTTGC